CAAAGACCTAAAGGTGAGACCTGAAACCATAAGGCTTCTAGAAGAAAACGTAGGCAGTACACTCTTTGACATCAGTATTAGAAGGATCTTTTCAGACACCAGGTCTTCTCAGACAAGGGAAACAATAGAAAGAATAAACAAATGAGACTTCATCAGACTAAAGAGCTTCTTCAAGGCATGAAAACAGGATTGAAACGAAAAAACAACCCACTAACTGGGAAAAATTATTTGCAAGTCATATATCTGACAAAGGCTTAATATCCATAATATATAAAGAACTCTCACAACTCAACAACAAAAAATCAAACAACCTGATAAAAAAATGGGCAGGACCCGTGAACAGACATTTCTCCAAAGAAGATATACAGATGGCCAATAGACATATGAAAAGATGCTCATCATCACTAATCATCAGGGAAATGCAAATCAAAACTGCACTAAGATATCACCTTACACCTGTTAGAATGGCAAAAATAACTGAAACAAAAAGTGACAAATGATGGAGAGGTGTGGAGAAAAAGGAACCCTCATACTCTGCTGGTGGGAATGCAAACTAGTGCAGCCACTATGGAAAACAGTATGGAGATTCCTCAAAAATTAAAAATAGAACTATCATATGATCCAGCCATTCCACTACTGGGTATCTATCCAAAGAGCTTGAAGTCAGCAATTCCAAAAGTCCCATGCACCTCAATGTTCATTGCAGCATTATTTACAATAGCCAAGACGTGGAAGCAACCTAAGTGCCCATCAACAGACGAGTGGATAAAGAAGATGTGGTATATATACAATGGAATACTACTCAGCTGTAAAACAGAACAAAATCATTCCATTTGCAATAACATGGATGGACCTTGAGGGATTATGTTAAGTGAAATAAGCCAACTAGGGAAGGATAATCTCTTTATGACTCCACTCATATGAGGAATTTAAAAATGTTGACAAAGAGAACAGATTAGTGGCTACCAGGGGAAGGGTTTGGTGGGGGGTGGGCACAAAGGGTGAAGTGGTGCACCTACAACACAAACGACAAACGTTAATGTACAACTGAAATATCACAAGATCGTAACCTATCATTAACTCAATTAAAAAAAAAAAAAGGCAGCCAGATGAGCAGATGGGAGTTAGAACTCAGATCCACGTCCTCCAAGGGAAAAAGGTAGGGGTTTTTATCCGGGGTTTTAGGTAGGGGAAGCAGAGCATGTGCTGGGGTTTTAAGTAGGGGAAGGGGACCATGTGGCCATGTTAGTTGGCACCCTCCCACAAGCCTGTGTTTGGTTTGGAAGAGTGAATTTCTCTTTCCTTGATTGTCTGGATTTTTCTGGTTAGTTTCTTCTTCAGCCTGTGTTTGGCCTTGTGAGCTGAATCTTGAGGTCAGGACCTGACTTTCTGGGAAAGACAGCTCACTCACATAGTAAGGAGTGACAGAAAGATCTGGTTAGATTTAAACAAGAATTGATTATGCTGAATATGCACAGCTGCAGTCAGCAAACCTTCTCTCAAAGTTTTTTGCTCTAGGAAAGATTTTCTAACTTCTTGCACAATTTCTTATGAGCCTACCTCTAATGATCAGTCCTCAGTCTTGGGGTTGGGGGCAAAGGCCGCTCTAGCTGCTTCCTGTTGGAAAGGGCAAAGATAAGATCAGAGGAATGAAACTGTTTTACTTTTATTTTAATATATTTTTGGGTAACAGTTGGGGAGAGCGAGATATGCTCTGCATGACTAATATTTTAGTACTCTGATCAATGGCTTTGGAACAACACTTAAAACTCACATTTTATGGTTAACATAGATGACCACACAGATTAGCAAAATAGCCCACATTTTAGTATCCCTTCCATAATGGACCTCAATCCTCAAGGAGTCCAGGAGAAGATGTCTGTAAACCAATCAAGGTTAATGCCTGCAACCTCAAGGGACATCTGATGTGAACAAGTAGCCTGCTGTCTACTAGTCCAGTAAGTAAGTAAGAACCTGGGAGTCGCTTATTACTTCTCTTGAGCAGACTGTCTTCTGAACAGCAACATGCGGTCAGTCACAGGTCCACTTGACCGTTCAGAGAAAGCAAGCTCTAGAGTATGAAACCAGCCAAGATCTGGGAGATGCCAATAGTGATGTACTTCTATGGCATGATTGTCTTTCCTTGTGGCATTTTTCACATGGTGCCATCCAATCAAACATTTCAATAGGACCCAGTCTCCATGACAAAGATGGTGCAGAGAAACATCTGACAGTGTCTAGTTCCTCAGTCTGAGTTCCCTTCAGGTCTTTTGGATCATCTCTAGAACATAGAAAGGATCTCCCAAAGTCAGGCCTATATTGTGTAAGCAAGTAACCAGGTATTTAATAAGAAGCATTTTTAGGGAAAGAAAAAGAAAAACAAGGGTAATGGTTGGAACAAATCATAAACCAATTTCTGAGCCTAGGGGATGGTCAGTCAAGAAGATCTCTAGATGTCAGGGTTGAAGCATCCCCTGCAGTTTAAAATGTCTCCTATGATGTCATCAGGTGTTCAGGTAAACGTTTTTGCGTGGCTTGCACAGCAACAGGCATGAAGACTGTCCAAACATGATGTGTCATGGTGCCCTCTCTTAGATTATACCAAGTTTCCAGCTTCTGTTTGCAGGGCTTCAGGAAAAAGGGTGATTTGAGTTCTCAATGATTCCAAGTGAAAAGGAAAGAAAAAATTGCAAATGTTAATTAGGAGATCGGTACCACATATTTTAGGAAACTAAAAGGGTTCAGGATCCTGTCCTATTTACAGATAGAAGACAAAAACCTTGAAAACAATTAACAGAACCCAAATACAACATCCACAAATGTGCATTATAGTTTCTATTGAAACACAATTTTTCTCTCTAAATTTACCCTAATTTTCAACAAAGATAGCCTAATACAGACTCACATCTTTGCAAAATAAGTCTAGTTTTAATAAATTTGGCCCAATTATTTACATAAGTACAACACGAATAGCAATTGATCATATAGGCTCTTTTAAATCTGCTTTTCTGGGAGGAGTGACATCAGCATCATATCAGAGTGAACTTGCCTGGGACTCTCTCCCCTCCAACATACCACAAAAAGGGGCAGCATACTCCAAGAAAAAGTATCCTAACAAAACAAAAAACATCAGAGAGATATGCAGCCACATGACGAGGGCGAAGAGGCTGGAACCCCCTCGGAGGAGCTGGAATGAGGTAAGAGAGTACTTTGCTCCCTCCCCTAAAGGCTGCAGTCTCTGCCACGGGAGGCTCCGTGAGGGAAGTAGTGGGGGAGGGGTCGTGCATTCACCAGATCACCCAGGACTCCCTAGGGCACTTGCAGCCGAGAGGGAAGCCATCGAATTGGGCGAAAGCTTTCCCACAGGGTGAGCTCATCAAGCCAAGATCCCAGGAGACCAGACAGCGAGAGCTGATCCAGAAACCCCGGACTGCACACTGGAGAAAGCACCCCTCCCCCGACCCACCCCACGCCATCTCGGCTGAAGGCAGAGGACTCAGAATCCATGGCTCTCAACCCCCACCCAATGGCAACAGGCTGTCACTGCAAAAGAATAATACCAGAATGAGAAAGACCAGACCTTCCAACATCAGGCACCACATCAAATCTCCAGGCCAGAGAGAAAACAAACACCCAGAACCCAGTCCTGAGGACACAGAAATATGAAAACTAAATGACAATGAATTCAAAATAGCTATCATCAAAAAATTCAACAATGTAAAAGAGAATATAGAGAAACAATTCAACGAATTCACAAGCTACTTCACAAAAGAGATTGAAACTCTAAAGAAGAATCAGTCAGAAATATTAGAGATGAAAGACACAATAGAAGAGAGAAAAGAAAATATGGATTCCCTTAGTGCTCGACTGGACATCATAGAGGAGCGAATCAGTTTAATCGAAGAAAGACGTGTTGAAATACCCCAGACAGAGGAGAGAGAACTAAGACGACAAAAGACTTGAAGAAAGTCTCCAAGAAATATCTGACTCAATGAGGAAATGCAACGTAAGAATTATGGATATTCCAGAAGGTGAAGATAAGGAGAATGGAGCAGAAAGTGCGTTCAAAGAAATAATAGCAGAAAACTTCCCAAACCTAGGGAAAGAGGGAAATATGTGTGGAGGAAGCTTCCAGATCGCCTAGGTTTGTCAATGTAAAAAAACCCACTGCAAAGCATATAGTAGTAAAACTGGCAAAAATGAATGACAAAGAAAGTATACTCAGGGCAGCAAGGCAGAAGAAAATAACCTACAAAGGAAACTCTTTCAGGCTTTCAGCAGGTTTCTCTGCAGCAACCGTACAAGCTAGGAGAGAATGGAATGACATATTCAAACTTTAAAAGACAAGAATCTTTAGCCAAGAATACTCTGTCCAGCAAAAATACGCTTCAGATATGAGGGAGAAACTAAATCTTTGCTAGACAAACAAAAGCTAAGGGACTTAGTAGCCACGAGACACCCCCCCGCACCAAGAAATCATCAGGAAGGCCCTTATACCTGAAAAAAGAAAAAAAGGGAGAAAGGGGTCACAAAACACAGAGTAAGGAGATAAATAGTTGGACACAATCAGAATACGATAGCAAATATTCAACTATAGCATTAGGCTACAGGGAAGGAAAACACCAAAACAAAGATAACCTTGTCATTTTAGTCATTGCATGGCAATCATTAAATGTTTGTTAAATAAATTAATAAAGTTCAAGGATGTTGATAATGCATGGCAGGAATGACGCCACTGATATGATTCAGAAATGCTAATGGAACTCAATAAAGGCGGGAAGCACCAGTGAACATCATCAGTTGGAAATATATACAATGTAATAATTTGAGGATCATTTTAAAGAAGCTAGTTTCAAACATTTTGAATGTTATTAATATTTTGTATATGTATGATGTACCAAATGTGACCTCCTTTTGTGTGTGATTTTTAAAATTAATTGCATTTTTTAATTCAAAATAACTTTTATTGTATTTCTTATTATAAAAACAATACATATTACTCACATGATTTAGCATGATTTTATTTATCCAGGAGATAAACTTTTCTCCAGGGAAATGTATGTCTTGATTTAAACTTATAATAAAAATCAATGAGAAAAAAAGTTTTCAAAAGAAATCCACTGTGCCTTAACATAGCTATTATCCTTTTACAGAAGACAGATACCTATATTCTGGAAATTTAACTTAAGGCCATACTATGGACATTAAACTTAAAAGCTCAAACCACCTAAATTCCTACCAGACGGACAACACAGATTACCTTACATTCTGATTAAATACATGCAAACACTAATGGGGACTTGAAAATACCTTACATGGTTGAATAAATAACTAAATAGAAGCACTTTCTGATCATCCAAAGACTGTATTTAGATGCAGAAAGAAGCCTGCACCACAAGAATGAAATCATTACAGTCCAGCTTGCCACAGGCAGCCAGATGCAAACCCCTGCTGGGAGCACTCACGAGCCTTTCTGAAGGCAGCTTTGTGGGCATAAAATAAGCTCCCAGCTGCTGGATGCTGAACTGCCTGCAGCCCAGCTCATCACATCTTAGGCAGCAGAGCTCTGTATCAAACACAGTATAAAAGAACCATTTGGGAAAAGCTGCATTTCATTACTTTGCTTGCTGCTCACCCTCTTGCTCAGCAAGTGGGCACTGGGGTGAAAGGGGAAAAAATTTTAAAGCTAAAAACTTACTATAAAAAAAAAGATTTTGCTTGTATGATGTAGCATCCTTTGGAGCTTCCATGCCCTCCTCCAGGACTAGTGACATAGTAAAATCACATCCACAGAGACATAGTCACCTAGCTTCTCTCTAAGGGAAACCAAAAAACTAACGCACTGCGAGCTTGGTTCCCTCCAGCTCCCCGAGTGTTTCACATGAGAGATCGGTAGACCACAACAGGGACACTAGCTAAGAGGCAGGCATGAGAGACCACTTGCTCTTGGAGTCACAGCCACAGCTTTCTTAGAGACCACACATGGTGACAGACCCTACAGAAGCATGTGTCTCCTTGTATCTGTTTTGAAGCCACAAGAACTCCCTGGAAGAGTCGATTCCCAGAGAACCTTCTTTCCTTCTTCATGTGATGTAAAAGGCACACTACTTTCCCTCCAGCCCTCATTCCCAACCCGTGGAGAGAACAACATTAGCCCTCTTCAGCCATGAGAGGCACACAGATGAGACAGAAAATACAGCAGCGGCAAAAGAGAACTTAGAAGACGGGCACGCACTCTGGGCAGTCTTGCGGTCAGCTCCTGCCCTCGAGGGGCCGGCAACAAGAACTTCTCTAAACGAAAGGCTGCTGCTGACACTGCTCCTCTCTCACAGCAGAAGAGACGCTTTAGGGACTGACGTTCTCAGGTCCCTCCATTCACCTGGTCAATCTGTCTCCTTTCCAACATGACAAAAAAGTGACTGCTAATGTATGTATATTGTCCTCTAGCCTGCGCCCCCGGAATGGATGCGGAGCCCGGCTCTCCTGGCACAGCAAAAGCTTGCTGGGGTTCAGCCCTCCCGTCAGAAACAATTAAATCTGGGGAGGTGCGTCTGCACTTTAGCCAAAGAACAGCCAGCCAGGGCTAGTCACAGGGAGGACACTAAACGCCAAAACAGAACACGATTGGCCAACCTGGGCCAAACCCGGCAAAGGGATAATAAAAACTAATCAGTTCTGGCCATTAAACGTTTTGAGGCACAGAGAAGTTAAGTTTGTCGGTGTAACTAATATTTCCATTAGGCATGAGGGGAAGAAATGTGGTGATGCTTTTCCAGGCCTCATTTTGGTGGTTCCAAATATCCAATCCTCATTTAACTTCCTGTTCACGCCCCCGTGGAGCTGACATCCCAAGCTTTTCAGCAGATCCCAGTGCCCCGGAGAGGTCTGGCCCCAGCCTCCACATCATCAGCAGAGCGATGTGAGGGATGCTGCCGAGGAGGGCCTGTGCACAGCCAGCACGGCCTTTGCCTAGGAGCCAGAGAGGAAGAGAAACAAAGCCGTTACACCAGCACAGATAACAAAGAAAAGTGGAGCAGAACCCCTCCCTCGCTCTCCCCCGCTCCTCCACCGCACACAGGCACGGACACACTGGTGCGCTGGCGCACACCCCTTTACCCTCGGGAGCCAAACTCTAATGGCTTCGTCATGGGCTTCTTTCCCTGACCTTGTGACCATGTTGGACCAGGCCCTTCTTTCAGACTCGACCATAAGCTACATGCCCAAGACATGAGGCAGAGGCTGGAGGGAAGCCTGTGGTAAAAGGAGAGTGTGTAGGCTATGTGAGCCCAAAGACCATGCCAAGAAAGTGACGCTGAGGTCAGGGCCACTGGGCTTCTACAGAGGACGTCTACTGCCACAGCTATCCCAGTGCACTCTGAAATTGGTCATCAGGGCAGAAATCAACTTCTCACAATCCAAGACCTCACATTTTACCTTCTGAGAATTTCTTCCCCTGGGACAGTTTCTCAAATGTTAAATGTGCATCTGGGTCACCTGGTAATCCTGTTAAAATGAAGATTCTGCTTCAGTGGGCCTGGGACGGGGCCCGGGAGTCTGCATGTCTAATCAGCTTCTGGTCCTTGTTAGGGTAACAAGGAACAAGGCAGGAGAATGGTGACATAATTCCACCTGTATTTCCTGTCCCAGAAGTTAAATGCCGTTTTATCCCATTGGCTGTAATCTCTTTAGAAACAGGAAGGTCATATTTTAGAAGGAACAGCCCACTAAATTCTAAGGGGTCTCCAGAGGCTTTCTTTACAATAAATAATGAGTTACATGTTGCTAATGGGAGTCACAGCACAGTGTGGTCAAAGGCAATTTTTTCTTAATTCTTGTGGAGGTGCCAAAAAGTAAGCACAACTACTCAAGTTCCTGCATCTTCCATAATGTCCTTCCCATCTTCCCCAGAAGGTGGCGGAAGAGAGCCATGCCTAGACCTAGGACGCCAGTTATGCTGTGATCTGGCTTTGGCTCATCCGAGGCTCAGCCACTGAGCAGCAGGAGGCAAAGCTTTGGGATTGGGGGGTGGGTAGAGAACACAACCCAAAACACAAAACAAAAAACCCAGAAGCCTTCTGATAGGTTCAAGTTACTCAACAATTTTATTTACCCATTCTACACACACACACACAAAAACACATTTCGAGTACAGTTATACACACACCTTATGTGGATCTGAGTGGCATTGATCCAATTGATATCAATATCACCACACCAGCTTAAATCAGAATTCTGCTAAGGACTATAGTTCCTTCTTTCAGCAGAGCTGGGCCTAGGAAGTCCGCAGGATACCTCTATTGCTTGGGTTCCCAACTCAGTGCACTCCCGTTCAACCTAGTGGTGCTCAGCCTACTCCCAACCCCTCCACAGGGCACGGCTGGTGATCAGATCTCTGCTTTGCCACAGCAACACCACCGCCATTCAGAATGAGTTAAGCTTGTTACTTCAACACAATAAAAAACGTACACGAGCAATTCAGATATAAACACACTGAGTAGGTAAATAGTGGTCATAGATCCCCAGTGAAAGTCTTACCGGAAAGAATACTTTTGTCAACTCTTAAAACCATTTTTGAATGCAAAATATCCTTTGCATTTTTATTTATTAGATTAGGAGTAAAAGCCAAATGCGTGGCAGACTACAAATGGCAGCATCATCCAGTGGAATGCTACGTTCCACAGCAGGAAAGTTGAGGACACAGAGGTTCCGAAATGGATGCTGAAAGCAAAGTCCTGCCTGGAAGGCGGGGAGTGGAGGGGATGGCTTCGATAGAGGTAACCATTTCAGGCTTTGGGCAGGCACAAAGTATCATACAAGTGATGTACAACCTTTCATTTTCTACACAATGATGAGATTTTGGCTGCTACTCTAAAAAAAAAGTCTACTAAAAATCATGTTGTACAGAACATCCCCCAAAAGAAAACATATGGAGTGTTTACCTCCTTTCTTTGTAGGACACGTGCAATAGACAGAGAATTACAATAACGTGCATACACTACCAACTGGTACAATTAGAAAACAATCAGACTGTCAGCATATGGACTCTACCAGAGTCTGTCAGTCAGTCAGCACACAGACCCTACTACACTCCGTCAGTCAGTCAGCACAGGAACCCGCCTAGAGTGTGTCAGTCAGTCAGCATAAGGACCCTGCTAGAGTGTGTCAGTCAGTCAGCACACAGACCCTACTACAGTCTGTCAGTTAGTCAGTCAGTATAGGGGCCCTACTCCAGTCTGTCAGTCACCCAGAATAGGGATGATCCTACTGTAGTCTGTCAGTAAGTCAGAATACAGAACCTACTACGGTCCATCAGTCAGTCAGCATATGGACCCGACCACAGTCTGTCAGTCAGTCAGCATACGGACCCTACTACAGTCTGTCAGTCAGTCAGCATATAGATGCTAGTAGATAGGTCTTCCAGACACTATGAGTCTAAATTAAATTCCTGGACATACTTCTGATGTCTCTGTCACCTCTAGGGGAAGTCAGAGATCACTCCTGCCAATGCTGCAACCTGACTCAATTGTTATATATTTTTTTTTTTTTTTTTTTTTTTTTAAAGATTTTATTTTTTCCTTTTTCTCCCCAAAGCCCCCCGGTACATAGTTGTGTATTCTACGTTGTGGGTCCTTCTAGTTGTGGCATGTGGGACGCTGCCTCAGCGTGGTTTGATGAGCAGTGCCATGTCCGCGCCCAGGATTTGAACTAACGAAACACTGGGCCGCCTGCAGCGGAGCGCGCGAACTTAACCACTCGGCCACGGGGCCAGCCCCCAATTGTTATATATTTTTAAAACTAAAATATTTTAAAACACAAACAAGTCAAAATGTATACTGAAAAACCTGGGTAAATTTACCAAATTTCTTGAAAACAAACACAACGTGGCTTCTGGGCTTAGCATGGACAATGAAATGTGCATAAGAATATATACCCCAGATACGGTTCTGTCAATTATTAGACACTTCCTCCCACATCCTTTGAGTACCCCAAGCACCAATAAGTTTCTCTGAAGCTCAGATCTCCTGCTCACAGAGAAACCATAAGATGGATTTATTTCCAAACAGCTCTATCATGTTTCTTCAAAATGCCAGGGACTCTGAAGATCAAGGGTTGCAAAAGGGAACACCCAGAACCTCACAGGAAACACTCAACCGTTCAGTCTAGGAATACAAATATATTGTATTTCTAACTCTAATTTCTTGGGAGAAAAAGTTAAAAAACCAAAAAACAGAAATCAGAGACAATGATATAGGGCAGATCACTAGCACAACACATATTTTAAAAACATTTCCTGGGGCTGCCCCGGTGGTGCAGCGGTTAAGTTCGCACGTTCTGCTTCAGCGGCCCAGGGTTCGCCGGTTTGGATCCCGGACGCTTGGCATGCCATGCTGTGGGAGGCATCCCATATATAAAGTAGAGGAAGATGGGCACGGATGTTAGCTCAGGGCCAGTCTTCCTCAGCAAAAAGAGGAGGATTGGCAGCAGATGTTAGCTCAGGGCTAATCTTC